GAGGATGGGACTGAGGACACATCCCTGTGGGGCGCCAATGTTCGTAACAATGCTGGCTGAAGTCCTATTGCCAATCCTGACAGTCTGGGGCCTGCCAGTCAGAAAGTCCAGGAGCCAGACACAGAGGGTGGGGTGCAGACCCAGTGTGGACAGTTTGTGGGTGAGTTTGTGGGGGACAACTGTGGTGAAGGCGGAGCTGTAGTCAATGAAGAGTATCTTGATGTAGGAGTCTCCATTGTCCAGGTGAGAAAGGGAATAATGAAGGGCAGCCGCGATGGCGTCTGAGGTGGCCCTGTTGGGCCGGTCGGCATACTGCAGGGGGTCCAGGGTGTCCGGTATACTGCTCTGAATGTGGGCCAGCACCACTCTCTCAAAGCACTTCATAATAATTGGGGTAAGTGCCACTGGCCTGTAGTCGTTCAGGCGGGCTCTTCTTGGGAAGGGGGACGATGGTTGTGGTCTTAAAACAGGTGGGAACGTTGCTCTGGTTGAGGGAGATGTTGAAGATGGTGGTGAGAACATCAGCAGCTTGCTGGCACATGCCCTGAGAGCCCTCCCAGGGATGATGTCCGGTCCTGCTGCTTTGTGGGGGTTGATCTTCCTCAGAAGATCTGCAGCAAAAGCTGATCCAGCAGCATCAGAAATCTGAAGTGCACAAGTGAGCCGATACCCTGTTGTGTTTTACTCAGTGTTGTTACTGATGCATCACATTTTGGACATGTGTCCATCCTGTCTGATAGCTCCTACTGTCTGTCTCTGTCTGCAGGAGTGGGCAGTGAGCCAACGACAAGACCCGAGATCAAACAAGCAAAAATAGAGAATTTTCAAAAAAAAAAAATCTTTGACATTCTGCTTCGTTGTCTCGGTTGTTTCTGGACTAGTCAAACTCATTCCTCATTCTTTCAATTTTTTCACCTTTGCACCACAACAGAACTGCTGCAAAAAGCAACATTTGCACAAAGTTGTTCAGATTATCTTGCTCAGAAACAATTAAAAAGATAAAATGTCTTCCTGCATGTTGCTCCCGGCTGATGTCTGGAACCACAAGGACCTTCTTAAACACTGTTCTCACGCCAGACATTTAAATGTATTTCCTCTAGGTAACAATTAGCTTACAGGCCCTGTGAGGAGAAGGTTCAACCAAGTCCAGACATCTGCTCTTTACTCTGAAGAAATGCTTAAGACACTCTGATAAACTACATGAATATGACATAGCTGGATTTTATTTCTGTGTCCATGAGGACTGATCCTAGTTCAGCCCAAAACATATTTAGGGGACATTTGCTTTTTGATTCTTATTCAGTTACATTTTCAGACTGGTATAGAGGGAAATACTGTATATCGATATTGGCAAGGGTTAGATATATTTTGGATGGGAAAGCACTACGCATTTTGTATTCTTCATTGATTTTACCATACTTAGAGTATGGCGTTGAAAACTGGGGAAATACATACAAAAGCTCACTTCAACCATTGTATATATTACAAAAAAGAGCGATAAGAAGTGTGCATAAGATGGGATATAGGGATCACACCAATGGAGCTTTCATACAGTCTAAATTGTTAAAATTTTTCGATTTAGTGGGATATAAGACTGCTGTGTTTATGTATAAAGCCAGGAACAATTTATTACCTGGTGGAATTCAAAAACTATTTAATGAAAGGGAAGGGGGATACAATTTAAGGGGTCAATTAAATTTAAAAATTCATGCTATACGTACAACCAAAAAAAGATTTTGTATTTCCATAAGTGGGGTAAAACTATGCAATAATTTAAGTGTAGACATAAAAAATAGTAATAAAATTGACGAGTTTAAACATAAATATAAAGGTATGTGTCAATCAAGATGCAAGAACAGGTTTAATGATTAATTAGATGGAACATTGTGGGTGTGGTGTATGAATGTTAACACTCTGTAATAATTCTTTAGTATATTACTTGTGTGATGTAGAAGATAAGTATTTAAGAATGTAATTATGTAAGAATGTTAACACTGTAATAATTCTTTAGAACATAGCTGTGCAAAAACAAAATTTGCTAACAATATTTGCAACACATCACAGTACAAAACTATTCCAGAAAATGGCTGTGCACATATTTGCATCACATTAGAGAATAAATCTATGCCAGAACATAGCTGTGCAAAAACAAAATTTGCTAACAATATTTGCAACACATCACAGTACAAATCTATGCCAGAACATGACTGTGCACACAGTAATTGCAACACATTGCAGACTGATGACTACATGACTACATATTTCAAAAGTATGTTTTGTCTCAATTCATTTTGTGCAGAGAAATTTCATTTGTTTGTAGTCTGTAGAAACAGTATCACACCTATGGACCTTTGTGAAAAGCTGCAAAACAGTTACGTTCAGTTTGCAAACACAGGAACATGTTGCATGTCATACATCGGACACGTGATTTCCCTGAGCATCCTGTTTGTCTGCAACGCATTGGGTTTTTCAGGTTGACCATCTCTGGAAGATGTTTTGTAGAAGTTGTTCGGATTGAGACATGCGGTACTGGGGTGATCTGATGTCTGCTTCCTTGTTGCAAAGGGTGTGCATTCTCTTCTTGTGCATCTTCAACAGCAGTGCCACACTTGCTCAAGTATGCCTGAGCCACTGTCATGCGAAACTGAAGAAACTGCATCATGTCTCTTTTTGGTGTGCCACACAGAGTGTTGTCTTGGCGATATAATAGCCAGCTGTTGGCTAAAGCAAGATCAAGGAAGTGCATCAGCATTCGAATGGTCCACTTCTTGGTTCGGACACTCATTCGGTAGTAGCTCATCATCCTGTCTGTCAAGTCAACCTCGCCCATCTTGGTGTTGTACTCGCGCACAATACTTGGTCGCATGACAGACACATATTGCTTGTCTTTCTTGGACCATCGCTGGCACACATCTTCTGGCTGTTCAGCATGAACAGTGGAAAGCATCAAAACTGCTTTGTTGTCATACCACTTCACCACACAAACCTTGCCATCTCCTCTGGTAACTGAGGCTGAGGCACCTCGTCCTTGCTCTTTCATGTCTTGGTCACTTGGTAGCTTCTGCAGTGGTTCAGTGACCCGGTTCTTCATTATTGTACCAGTTAGGTACACCTGCTTCTCCAGCATTTGATCTACAGCTTTCATGGATGTGAAGAACCGATCACAGTATACCTTTGTGCCAGGGTGTAGAGTTTTAGCCAGACGTGCAATAACCAGTACTCCCAAACCAAGTTCCTCTGCATCCTGGATCTGTGATCTCAGTGAGTTTGCACCTTGGTAGACTTCAAAGTCCAGCACAATGCCACCTGCTGTAGCCAGCACAAAGTTTTTCATGCCAACTGGATTGGGCTTTAGTGGCACATACTGTCGAAATGGGCAAGCTCCTGTAAATGGGATCATCTGCTCATCAATTGATACACATTCTGGTCGAGCCTGAAGCAAGCAGCCTTTGAGGATGCGATCGATAAAGGGCCTGGTCTTCCAGAATTTGTCAGCTTTCCTCATGTCTTCAGAAATGTCACTATCAATGACTACTTTCAGATGTTTCCTCAGTTTGAAAAATCTGTCACGCTTGAGTTTGTCACTAATGGCAGGGATTCTCAAGGCACTGGACCAGAACATTCTAAGCTGTGGGTAAGACACACAAGACATGAAAATGGATGCTCCAAAAAATGATAAATCTCATCAACTGATGTGTTGAGAGAGCTACCACTGTTAGATAGAGACATAGCATTTGTGCAGTTAGCAATTAGATTCATCAACTCTCTATCAATGTACTGCTCCATATAGTCCAGTGGCTGCCAGTTATGTCTCTCATGCAGAGTTTCCTCTTCAGCCTCAAACTGCACTATGTCTGGAGTGAAGGCACTTGACTTCCAGCGCACTCTACTTGTATTCTTGCTAGATCCTGGCTCAACACTTCTACCACGCTTACGTTTACGTGCACATTCTGTGGATGGTGGTGGCTCACTGTCACTATCACTGCTCTGCTGATCAGATTCTGATAAATCAGGTGGAATATAATCTTTATCATGTAGTAGTTCCACACCAGGATCAGCTTCTTCACCATCAGACAGCTCCTCCACATCAGAGTTCTCTCCTACTATTGCATTCAGCAGTCTTTCTGCTTTTGACAAAGAAATGGACCCTAGACATGTATCGGATAACAATAAAAGAAATTTAATCAATGTAGACTAATGTGTACCACATGCAACAACTGTTTATATTTATATTTAGTGGAAACTGTTAGTTTTTTTTCACAAATCTTCCCAAGCCATGTGTCATTACTTTTACACCTTCACATAGACAATGTATTAACATGGTCCCAATGTGCTCAAACGAGTACTTCATAGTTAGAAGCCTCCTAACTTGTTACTATTGCTAAAAGATGTCAAATTTATATACCATCTCAAACTACAGACATTAAAAAGCAAAAATTTGCAGGTTTCAACCATGAAATGTATTTAGGTTTTGTACCTTGTCCATTTTTATTTCGGGCTCAGCCGTAGAACAACTTGACTGAGATCGACGACATCTTAGAATTATAGTATAAGTCTGACGTCTTCCTACTCCGTTCAAGCATGTACTAGGTATAAGCAAATTGATATTGGATTATGTGTATGTGTGTTGTCATATCAACTGTTTTTTACATGCTTGAAAGAATAAATCAAATCAAATCAAATCAAAGAATCAGCAGCCCAGTTAGCTTAGCTTAGCACAAAGTCTGGAAACAGAGGGAAGCAGCTAGCATGGCTCTGTCCAAAGGGAACATAGTTCACCATGGTACACCATGACTGTACAGCTCACCACTCCAGCAACACAGTCTGCTGATGATGCCACCATGGCTGGCCTGATAAGGAAGTGGTGAGTCTGCATATATGGATGTGGTGCAGAGGTTGTCATGGTGTTGCAACAGAAACAATCTCTCACACAACACCCACAAAACAAAAGAGATAGTCATTGACTTCAGGAAGCACAGGGTGGACCCAGCTCCACTGTACATCAATGGGGACCTTAAGGAGAGGGTCTCCACCTTCAAATTCTTGGGGACCTACATCTCAGAGGGCCTTTCCTGGACAGCTAACACTCAAATGGTGGTTAAAAAGTCCCAGCAGCGGTTGCATTTCCTGAGGCTGCTCTGAAAAGTAGAACTAAAGGAAAAGCTCCTGGTGGCCTTCTATCGCTCTGTCATAGGATAGTGCACAACTGTGTGGTCTGCAGACAGGAGAGCTCTGCAGAGGGTGATGGTCACGGCAGAGAACATCACTGGCTGCTCTCTGCCCTCCCTGGAGTACATCTCTCACTCCCAATGCCTCAGGAGAACCAGGGAAATCATACACGACTCCTCCCACCTCAGTCCCTCACTGTTCACTTTACTGCCCTCCGCTAGTTGGTATAGGTGCACAAAAAGCAGAACAGACAGACTCACAAACAGCTTCTTCCCCTGGGCCATCAGAACTCTGAACTCCTCATAGGACTGTTACACCACTAATGGAGCATGTCAGTTGTTTTTTTTTTGTAGCTATTTATTAATGATGTGATTGTGATTTTATTATTTGGAATATTTGGTGCTTTGCTTGCACTTCAGCTTACACTGTGTACAGCTGTAGCTTTTAGAATTTCATTGTACAATGACAATAAAGGGCATTCTATTCTATTCTATTCTATTCTTACATCAGTCATCGTGATGAAGCTGCAACCAAATAGCCAAACCACTGCAGAGCCTGTGGCCAACACCAGTTCATTCCCAGCAGCGTGACCCAGTTAATGAGTGCACACAGACCAAGGCTACAGTAAATGAGTAATGACCATGAGAACATTTGTTTTGCTATGATGCTGAGAGGAAACATGCCCACAACCTGCACTTGTACACATCTTCAGTATTACACAACTCAACACACAGAATCACATGCGCAGCATATTCAGGTCTAGTAAACTGCATCGGTGTGAGCAGTGACACTGCACAGATGTCATGTATCCTCTTGTTCAGGAAACTAAAGAATCTCTGAATGAAAATGCACCTTCAAGTTGTCTGCATTTGGGTCCTAAGTCTGTAATCAGTTTCAGTTTTTTTTTTTTTATCAGTTTCAGTGTTTATTTCTTTTAAAGCTCAAGCTGTTAAAAAATGACTTAAAAATAAATCAAAAGTAAGGGATTAAAATCAAATGAATTGTACATTTAAAAAGGGGAAATGGAGTTAAACATTTAGTTAAGTCTGGAAATGTGTCTTTTGAATCCAGACAATAACAACGCTGCCTTAGAGCTAAGTCTGGCACAAGCTGAGGAGAAGCTGCAACACTGGGCAGGAAGTTAGATGTCCTTCACAAATGTCTTTAAATCCGTTTTATTTTGAAGTGGTTTATTATCAGCAGTGAGGTGGGTACAATGTAATACACTGATTCTACAGCCAGTAGTTTCATCCTTAGAATGAGTAAGTTCTTAAGTTTAAGGCCCAGTCTGGCATGGCCTACACAGAGGATGGCTGCAGTACAGAGGAGATCTAAATATCTGAGAAGCAGTCGGGTCAAACTAGTGACCCAGCAATCTGTGGGAAACTCCTAGAAATGACAAGTGATACAACACAGAGCAGCTCGGGTGGCTTTAAGCTGTGGAGTGAGATCAGACGTGCATGAAGGTCTTTACTGGTTGGATGTTTAAAAACAGGTTTTTAAGAAATATTAGGACAAAGGTCTCATATTTACCGTATGAAAACATAATGAGAGTAGAAACTCTTTAACTGGGCCCCAGCGTCTGTTGCCTTGAGCCAGGACTCCTACAGGCAATGGGTGAACGGACCGCACCACTAGTGAAAACAATACTTCTAGTTATAAATTACAACTAAAAAGTAGAAATTTCAGATGAAGCAGCTTTTCTCTGAAAGTCTGAATTCAAGTTTAAATCGGTTTATATGTGACTAAGATTTGTACAGAGGGTAATTAGTGTTGTCACGTGTATTTATATTTGTGAAAGGACCCCAGTTTAAACAGTCACTGTGATACAGTGGTTCATGGGGATCTAAACACACAAACAGTCTTTACATAGCTGTGTCTGATGTTAGCGCAGTAATAGAAGGTGCAGACTCACCTGCCTGCCTGCCTGCTGTCTGTCAGTGAGACTCTCTGATGAGAAAAACGTTTTGACTTCCCTCTGCACAGCGATCACATGAGGAAGGACAGAAGGAGGAGGAGGAAGAGCTACAGATAAAGGCTAATATGGTTGTGTACAGCTGCTCAACCACACACACACAGCTGGCCAGGCACTGTTTGTGTGTCACTGTAATGAAAAGGTAAAACAGTGTTTATGTTGATCTTTGTTTCTCTGAGTGTGAGCTTTTGTCTTTATCTGTTTGTCAAAACTAGAAGCAGCAAGAGGCCAAAGCTGCAGCTGAGAAGTCACTGCCACATAAGTCCTCATAAAACTGTAAACTGGTTTTTATATGTACAAACCCTAACACCCAACCCAAAAGCCAAATGGGCCATGATTCATCTCCTTTCCCTGTCATGCAGTGTTTTTCTGTTGTCTATAAATGCTGCCTCATGCAGCACGCTCATGGAAGTCAGCTGTGCCCAGTGTAAAGGCTTGTGTTATCATATGTGTACACTGCATAACTCTCACTTAGTACCCCTGTGTAGGGTTTGAAATCTTATTTTGAAAGTGTTCACAGGAACTGTTAGTGTGCTGTTGTGTCTGCCTTTACACTTGGTCCAGTTTAGTCTGTTTATTTAACCTTTGTCTAACCATCTAAATCCCACTGGGGCCAGGGAGACCTGGCCAAGATGGCAGCATCTCAAGTTCTCACGGGGCAATACAGCATCAACTGTGCAAGTAAACTAAGGGTGAGAACAACAAAATAATTGTCTACTAGAGGATTAAGACTCATTCACCATGCACTGTGAGAGACTGGTAGCATGCTGTTGTGTCTGCTTTCACACTTACAGTGTGGTGATCGCAATAAGTAAATACACGTCTAGTAAAACTTTATTTGGATAGTGCTCGTTCACTAGTAGCATACTGTGTTTGCTCTTACACCTGGTACTATATTTCTGAACATGCCATCTGGTGGCCACTGAGTGTAACTGCAGTCCTGCCTATGTAGTTACACATTGTGACCGCTGGGGGGCAGTGAACATTATAAGTACTACCAGCTGATCACTTTCACAATAAAACTGATAAAGTTTTCTTAACAAAGACACGAGGCCTCTACTAAAAGTCAGTCATAACACATTTAATATAATGTCTCATATGGTCATTTATTTATTTAATGAGTGTGTAGATGACAGAGCACAGGTGTAACAGCCTGTTTACAGGCTGAATGATTCTGACATCAAAACAAATCCATTCGATTAGATCCTGTATAAAAAAGTCAGTCATAAAGGAGGACTGTTTTGGACCTGATTTGTACCTCCACTCAGTCTGTCCTCAGTTCAGGTTATTCTCCAGGTGATCATGTGGTTCAGCACCACCTTCATTCACATGAACAACCATGAAGAGTGTCTGCAGCTGCTGAGAAACAACAGACCTCAGTTCACAGTCGCAGTCGTCGGTATAGTATAAATGTAGAAATATATTTCAAAAGTGTGGCCCGGGGAGCTATCCGCTGTGATATCACACACCCCTAGAGTGGGTCACATCATTTCCACTGCCTAATGTGAGCCCTGCAGCCTGGAGGGAGTGACAGCAGCCACACTGACTTCACAATAATAACATCATCAGCACATGTGCAGGTTATTTTTTTGTTTATCATACAGTAGCTAATGAGCTGCATGGGTTATTTTGTGGAGTAATTGTAATTGGGATGGCGACAGTGGTGTGGTGGGTAGAGCAGTGGTCTCCCAATCAAAAGGTTGAAGGTTTGAATCTCGGTGCCTCCAGTCCACATGTCGAAATGTCCTTGGGCAAGACACTGAACCCAAGCAGGGCTATGTCAAAATAATAAGGGCTATGTCAAAATAATAAGAGACAGAATGTTGTAATAACACGAAAAATCATATTTTAACATGAAATGAACAAGAGAGTCTTCTCATTCACATAGCAAAATGTTTTGTCATGTGGCAGGTGGTTCTTGTGTGTACTACAATACATAATCCTGCTGCTCACTCCTTCCCAAAATCATGACTTACTGATTGTTTTACTATTTTTACACTCAATTACAGCATCGATTCGCACATTAGGGTAAGAAGGTTAAGAAAGGATTGTGGTTGGAAAATAGTCCACTCCAATTATGAACATCTATGTTTCCATGGTAACAGATCCAGTTCAATCTGCAGATGAAGACTGTTCAAGAGAGCTGAAAGCTCCCCAGCAAGCACATAAGTGGACCTTGAGTTCAGCTTGTTTTGTCAGTGATTATGGTACTCATTCCTCCTCCCCTCCTCGCCTCCTCGCCTCCCCTCCTGTCCTCCTATATGTTGCTCAGACTCTGGGCAGTGGTCAGCGACCTCCTCCTCTCTCTTACTGACAGTTTCCTCAGCAGCGACTCTCTGAAGGTTCGACACATCAGGACGTAGATGATGGGATCGAGGCAGACGTTGAACCCTGACAGCAAGAGCGTCCCCTCCTTCAGCTGGAACAGCAGGAAGCGGGTGTCCCAGCTGAAGATTGAGTCCTGCAGCTGGCTCATGGTGTACGGCACACGGCAAACGTGGTACGGCACAAAGCAGATGAAGAACACTACCAGGATGCTGAAGATGCTGCGACTGGATTTGCGGTGGACTTCGCTGTTGTTGCGATGCACACGGCGGTACGACTGGTAAACCTGGCGGGCAATGGAGGTGTAGCAGAAGACAAGGACCACCAGCGTCACCCAAAACAGGGACACGCTGAAGTAGGTGGACACCTTGTGCCACTGAACACCCAGAGGCGTCTTCAGCTGCATGCATTTCCGAGAGTTTGTCTCATTGGCAGGCTGGCTGGTCAGCACAACATTGGGCAGAACGCAGACGAAGAAGAGGAGGCTCCAGGTGAGGAGCGCCAACAGCCAGGCAAAGCTGACACTCTGCAGAAGGTGCAGCAAGGACACCATGCCCAACTTGGATCTGCAGGAGGAGGAAGAGGGGGAGTGTCGGACGATCTTGACATAGCGCTCAAGGCTGATTAGGCCCATGAAGAGGATCCCCACATACATGGAGGAGTAGAAGAGCACGGCAGTGTAGCGGCGCCCAAACCCATCTCAGCTGCCAGCCTGAAAGGGAAGGTGGCCAGCATGAGGAGGTCGGCCACCACCACGTTCTTCAGGTAGACCACCAGACCATTGTCACTGGGCACTCTGAAGAAGATCCAGGCAGCCACCCCATTCAGACATATGCCCACGATACAGGTCACGAAATAGAGCAGAGGGACCACCTGTCGAGTGAAGATGCTGCTGAAGTCTGATTGGTTGGTGGGGAGGGCGGTGGAATTGAGGCGATCCATCCCTGGAAAGGGAACATGGGTTAAACACAATCAGAACGATGTGATATATTTGACACATTCCTGTTTGGGGCAGCCTCAGTGTCACTGTGACTAGCACTGAGCTAATCCAGATTTGTAACTGTACCACAGATGTGGATTTGATCTGCACTAGTGGCCTTTACATGGCAATGTTTGGTCCTGAGAGAAATATCTCAGTATCTTCTGGATGGACTTGTATGATGCTTTTGTGCCTCCCCCTGCAGGAGCCTGGCAGGTGGAGCCAGGACATCAGAGAGATTCAGCTCACCTGGTTCAGCTGCAAGACTATATGAGCAGGTGGCTTCAACCCTGTTTGTCTTAGTTGATTTTATATTCATTTCTTATATTTTGGTTATGCAAAATAAGTGTTTTAGTTGGATACATGCATGGTCTCCCCTTCTGTGTCCAGCCTTGAGCCAGGCTGTGACAAACTGGGCTCAACTGGGATCACACTAATGGCAGGTCATGTTAGCATTTAGCTCAAAGCTGTCTAAAAACCCCACAGAGCTGCTAGCATGTAGCCTCTTGTTTAGCCATGCTAGTACCACAATTCTTCATTTTGTGCCATCAACAAATCAAAATTCAGTTTGTCAAATACTTTATAAATATAACTGTTTGCTTTTCTGTACTTTAGCATGACTGTAGATTCTTAGTCTTGTTCTCAGAGCTCCCTCACATTCAGACATCAACAAAGGAGCCACAAAAGCTGTTTCCGTCTGAAAATCCCTGTTAACTCCCCAAAAAGCCTTTTATGTCCATGAACTGAACATGCTGCTCTGTTTACACTGGGGCACGTGCACAAATAAATAAGTGCCTTGAACTCCTGTTTGTCCTGCTGTTCACACACGCTTCCCCCTACATCTGATTCATCCCAGTCCAACAGACACCCAGACTCCACTTCACGCCTCATTCATCCAGCCTAATCAAAACAGGACATTAAGAGTCAGCAGTGACAGGACAACACCAGGCTGCCTTTTGTTTTCCTGTCCTCATTTATTTTTAGTCTGAATCCTGTGACTTCAGCTGGTGCCAGATGATTGTTTCTCCAGTTTGGTCATTACAGGGGTCAAGCCAAACATATTAGGTCTATATCCAGCTTGTTACACGTTCAGACTTTAAAGTGAACACACTGTGGCTTCCTGTGCTGATCTGACTTTAGTTTATAAAAACTATTTTAAGAATACATCAAGTCCTCTGGCTTCCTGTGATGATCTGACTCTAGTTTACAAAACTATTTTAAGAATACATCAAGTCCTCTGGCTTCCTGTGATGATATTGAGCACATTTGATGTTCAGATCATAGCAGATAGATTAATCTCCTGCAGCTCCGGGTTTCCTTAGTGTGCTATAAATCCACTGTCAGATAACAGCCAGGTCTCAACACGCACATGCAGCTCAAAAGTCAAACTCTGCCCGGGATGGCAACCATCGATTTATTGGGTGACAGCTGTGATTAAACCTCAAAAAGGAAATCTAATCTTAATGTATTCTTCTGCAGTGACATACACGGGTCTCTGGAGACTGTGAACTATTGCTACTGACTGACAGTTAGCCCAGAGTTTGCATGAGCTGCCTGTCGTGATTAAAATCACCAGGACTATCTGTTGCATGGAAGTCATTTGCATGTTGGGATACACAGCTCATCACCTCATCAGAACATCTTTAGTCTCTGTGATGGTGCCACCACAACAAACAAATCAACTCCAACTAATATTTGATTTGATTTGATTACTGTGTCCATCACCTTAATGCTGCAGCTGGTAAAGGTGGAGCTGATGGTAACTACCATATATACTTATACTGTGAAGTACTTTACATGGAGTTTTTGACATTTTCTGATGTTGACTTGTATTTTTGGCTGGTATTTCACATGGTACAGAAAGAGAAGGTGCTGCTTTACAGCAGAAAGGCAGAGGTTTCTGCTTTTGGCCTGGAAGTGATGCAGTGATCCTGTGTGATGAAGGCAGCACAGTTGTAAAGACTGACTGCAAGATTAGACCATTTGTAAGAGTCATTTGTTAAACAAAACCGCCTCCAGCCCACAGTGTTTGTCTGAAGGGCTCAAGTCAATAAGAGGTGGATTTTACTAGAAGATGCAAACATTTCCAGTATCAGTCCTGTGAATTAATGAGATCATTTAGTCTGTTACAGTAAACAAAGTAGTCTTTGTGTGGAAAAACAAAACCTTACTGTTTTTGTCATATAATTTAAATCTGACAGGATAAAAATATCACAGGGAGCACAACATGTGTCAGACTTACACTGCTTTTTAATTTATACATGCAACATCAGTTCTCTTCACAACTCACACCAGACTAAAACATCAGTGTGCAAACCACTGACGTGTGTTCAGTGCCACCATGTTGTAAAGTGCCCACTACAGTAGCCACATAATGAAATAAGTAGCGTTAGGGAAAGACTATAGTTAAACCAAAACACTATCGGAACACTGACATTTTGGAAAATATACATTTGCTTTGTTGCTGAGAGTTCCCTCTTACATGTCTGCACAGAAGTTATGAAGCCACATCCAGCAGCTGGTTAGCTTAGCTTAGCTTAGCATAAAGACTGGAAACTGGTGGAAACAGCTAGTGTGGCTATGTCCAAAGGAAACAAAATTCTCCTATTAGCATCTCTACAGCTCAGAAACGAACACGTTTTTTCTTGTTTAATCCTTGGAAAAACCAAAGTGTAAACTGGTTCGGTCTCTGCAAAGCTAAGCTAACTAAAGCTGCTGGCTATAGCCTTACATTTAACAGACATGAGAGGGGGATCAGTCTTCTCATTTAAATCTCAGCATGAAAGCAAATAAGTGCATCTCCCAATATGTGTGGGTTGAGGCTAAGATTGTGCAAATGTGCACAGAGGTTGTTCAAAGATGCTTGCATGCTATATAACATTTGGAGTAGTTTCTGCCTCTGGTTTGAATTGAGATTGTCATCTTCTCTGCTGCGAGCGACAAAACCACACTCTGTGCAGGCTTGCTATACTTCCAGCTTCAGGCAGCAAACACAGGACTTGGTGCTGGTTTGGTAACTAAACCACTTGGTCAGTGCTGGACTATAAGTACATACATCTACTCCAGTAGACTACTGCACTTGTACTCAACCTGAGTATCTGTATTTATTACTACTGTATACTTCTACTTTTACAATTCCAGATTAAATACTGAACTTGTTATTGCACTACATTTAAAATATTTGACAGCTACTTTACTAATAAAAATTTTACACACAAAACCTTTGATCACTTATATTACACATCAAAGTACACCGATGTTACAAATGGCTCCTTTATGACCAGCTACAGTATTGAATGCATCAGAAATAATGATGATTAATCCTGTACAGTGGGTGTTTGGGTGGTGACTTCTTTTAATCTGCAGTTTTATTTTTGCATTTCTTCCTCTGTGTAATTCAATGTAATGCACACTAGGATAATAACCACCTTTATTTGGCCAAGTATGTTACACACCCGGTACAGAACTGAGGCAGCCATCGGCGGCGCCACCTCAACCGATGGCTCTAACCATCGGGGGCAACTTGGGGGTTCAGTGTCTTGGTCAAGGACACTTCGACATGTGGACTGAAGGCACCGAGATTCAAACCTTCACTTATAATATGCACTTCGACAAAGACATTTGAAACAATGTATTTCCATCATATTTGAAATGATAAATTGATTAATCTGCGACTATTTTGATTATTAATTCATTGTTTTCAAAGTACATTTCAGATTTCTGCTAAATATGAAGATTTGCTGCTTTTTTGTGATATATGATGATAAGTTGAATATCTTTAGGTTTGGGGCATTTGGTTGAATAAAACAAGACAATTTAAGGTGTTGCCTTCTTTTCTGGGAAATTGTAATGATAATTCATTCATTCATTTTCTACCGCTTAGTCCCTGAACGGGGTCACGGGGGGGGAGCTGGAGCCAATCCCAGCCGGCAATCGGGCAAAGGCGGGGTACACCCTGGACAGGTTGCCAACTCATCACAGGGCTAACACATAGACGAACAACCACACACACTCCTATGGGCAATTTAGAGACACCAATCAACCTAAGCTGCATGTCTTTGGACTGTGGGAGGAAGCCGGAGTACCCGGAGAGAACCCACGCAAGCACAGGGAGAACATGCAAACTCCACACAGAAAGGTCCCACGTAATGATAATTCTTTTTTCAAAACTTTCTGTTGTTGTTTTATAGACTTTAATCATAAAAATAATCAGCAGATTATTTTATAATGAAAGTAGTTAGCTGTTAGGACCTAAATCTAATATAAAATCTAAAATCTAATATAATATTTATGATTTTTATCACCCCCCCCCCAATAGCCACAGCTTACAGTAATAACTCCACACGAAACCCTCAGAATCAACCTTAAAGAGGAGTGTGAGCTCCTCCTTGACTGACTGACTAACTGGGCAGATTTATAAATAAATGACCAGTCTGCTGATGACACAACAAACGATGAAGAAACTTGTCTTTTGGATCCTCTTCTATAACGTTACAGATTTAACAGTAACCCTGTATCTCCTCATCTTTTGGTTTGTAAAAATATTACTTTTGTTAAAAAAAAACAAAATAAGGTCATGGAATTATAACTAGACTATAAACTTTATATAAATAAATACTGAATAAATCCTTGCTCATGTTTTCTTTTGATGCTTTTTGTGATTTTATACATAAAACTGGGCAAAAACACTTGTGAAATGTTAAATTACAGCAGCAGATGCTTTACAGCTGCATGTCCCGCTTCTCATTTCACACATCACCTGCTTTTAATCCACAACAACACAGTAAAAAAATTGCCACCTGGTGTTCAGTGGCACATCTACAGTAATGTCGTGCACTGTGGTGCATTAACATTAATACTATTTAAGTTGCCATAATGAAATCTGTGGACATGAGAGTCTACTCACCTTTCAAAGAGCCTGATGTTCAATCAGGTGCCTGTGCAGATAAAGAAAGTCATGTGCAGTCTGAGCTGTTTAAATTCTGTAGAGGAGTTGCACTTCCTTTCTGTCCTCTCTGTCTGACTGTCCCTCTCTTTTACCCTCACACAGTGGCTCTCGCTCCAGGAAACTGCTGAGTCTGTTCTCTCTCTAAAAGGGTCTGCCGCTGCTCCGTGAGGCTGCACAGCAGTGCTGTGAGCTAACGTGTTCACAATGACAGCTGACACGGTGACGGTCTTTATCATAAAACAGTAAGCACAGTTGAGGCTGATGGGAATGTGTTTGGTTCCGCAGGCATTTGATCATAAACCAGAGTGTTGGACAAATTAAAGTGCTGACCTGATGATGGTGCAAGCTGAGGTCAGACACCAGAGCTACTGCAGTTCATCCTGAGGGGAACGGGAATGTCTGGAGTACAGGCATCGCAGTGCAGCCAACAGTTTCTGAGATGTTTCATTTGGACCAAAGCGTTGGCCTGGCAGACCGACGCCAAACAAACAGGAGGAAAGAGGCCATTTATTGGGGACTGAGTGTGTGACACTGAGTCAGAATAAACTCCAGTGTGTGTGTTCATGGTGACAAAGGAACATGTCAGCCAGTGCAACAGTGTGGTCGCTGATGGGGTGTTTTTGCACATTAATGGAGCTCTATGGCCCAGAGGAAGAAGAGATGTCAGGCTATGTATCAGAATAGTCTGCTCTAAAGCGTATCTGTGTTTATTTCCCCGTCTCGCCCCCCAGGACTGTCCGCCCATCTGTCTGTCAGCAGATAACAGGATGTGTTTCAGACTGGTTTTGGACTGATTGGACACGTTCCGTCCTTTTTTAGCTTTACATCTTTCCACTTTTAGCCGCCGCCCCAATTCCTGTCTCTCAGCGTAACCTGTTGGGTAGGAGGCCTGGGGGTGATGTGCTGTTGGGCTATGACTCTACAACCCTCCTCCAGGCTTTGTGTGCACATGCAGTCATTAAGGCTTATTTGGGGCCGTTTGGTTAAAAACAGCATTAGTTAGAAACATGCATCCTGTAATTACAAACTAAAATGATAAAGCTCTTAAACCCAAGTTAACTTAATGTTAGAGCCTTTCTTCTAGGTTCAGCCTTCTGCATTTATGACACCGTCCTACAATGGAGCCCCAGACTGAAAAATAATTTTTCCTCTCTTTGCAGTCAGTTAGTGTCTCTTGGTAAGTGTTTTGCATGTCTGTGGTATTTATGTAAAGCTTTTCCATGTTGATTTGAGTCTTTGTGGTCGTCTCTGTTTGGTCATTCTCAGCATCTGTGTGTCTTTGTAGAATTTTTGACTCGTTGTGGTTGTTTGGACTCTTTGTGTCTGGTTGCAGTCACTCTGTGTCTATTTGTTGTCGCTTTGTGTGTCTTTACAGAAGTTTGTAAAAGTCATCTGACTGACTTTCCAACAAGAGATGTTAATAGTGGCTACAAACAGGGGCCCCATAGATCCTTGGGCCCCTGTTCAGTATGCTTATAATGATTATGTCTTCATAGTACATCGCCATATTTCTTAGTGATTCTCTCTTCTCATACATTAATGTTTCGTTGTTTAACTGCAAAACTTTCAAGACCCTAAAACTCAGTAAAGTGCCTTCTGAAGCATCAGACATCACCAGTCACGTTGTTTTCTTAGTTTGACACAAGCCTCAACGCGCTATTTCGAAACACTGCACTTCACTGGAGTGAAACAGGCTTCAGAGCCTCGGTGTCATCTGCCCAGATCCAACTTTGAATAAGTGAACCGAAATAAAACTTCTAAGCCGAAGGAACACAAAAAAAAAAACTTAAGAAAGTGAAATGGTTTGTTTCTTGTCTTTTGAGTCTTCTCATCTTTTCTTTTTCCAGTGAACGTGGCTCTGCTAAATTGCCACCATCAGACAGCAGAGGCTGAATATTTTGTGGACGATGTTGATGCACCCATGCTGGTTCATGTCTTCCACCCACGCCACTTTGGCCTGGAAGAGAATGGGAGGAAGAGGAATCCAGCAGGGAAGAGGAAGATGTCAGACATGAGAGGAGGAAGTGGAGCATCCACTTAGTAGGCTAAACTAACTCAGTGACACCTTGACTTTCTTCCAAATAACGCACATTTCATTCATAATATTATAAACACAGACCTATAATTCAGTTTTTTCCTCGTCCGGGGAGTAATTCAATGTAGAATCGCCACTGATTTTATGGTATGACAATTTATACTACTACTGATCTGTACACTTAATTTGACTTTTTTCCTATCCTGTATTTCCATGTTTATTTATTTTCACATACATTTTCCTACAAGAATTATATATTTTTCTGTATGTACAATATTTATTTTTTCTAAATTTAAATAAGTGTGGAAATAGGCCTAATTATATAAATACAAATAGAAACAAACATGCAACCAAATGAAAAATATGCTAATATATAATAAATTGGTGGGCTACATAAATAAATAAAACCTATTTATTGTCTGTCATTTATTCTTTTCTGGCAGATTTTTAAAAATTGATCTTTTTATTAATGTCTTTATTGTTTCCCGTGTCACTTTGGGGTTTTATATTTGTTCGAACAAAGTGAAAAAACTAAATAAAAGAAAATAAATGTCATTTTACGGACTGCGCATGCGCCCCAGTTGCAGCTTCCGGACTGCAGATATTCATTCTTCTTCGCTGCACTTCTCGGTTTAAAAACAAAAACAAAAAACAGACAACCACTTTATTCTAGGTTTTACTGGAGCACCAGAGATTTTATTTCCACCGTTAAATGCACATAAAGTCACGGATGGGAGACTTTTGATGGACGGTACCATTAATGACCGATTTGAGAGCGAGATAGGGGCCGTGGTGGAGGTCTCTGTCCGGGCCACCGTCGCTGCACTTGCGCGGGACGGTGCCGGTGGAGGAGACTGGACAGCACCGGCAGCAATATCCCAAATCTTCCAGGAGCTGGGGAAAGACTTAACTGTGAAAATAACCGAGTTGTACCGGGACACGTCCTCCGAAGTGCTGCGTGAGAACCGAGCTCTGAAGGTGGAGGTTGAGCAGCTGGAGTCCGACCTGAAGCGGAACCTCGTGGCCGCTTTCGAGCTGGAGAAGCAGCTGCGGAACCAGGTGGGCCGGCTCAGGAAGGAGGTGGCTCACCTGGACCAGGACCTGAAGAACATGAGGACAGCTAAGGAAACCCGGGAGCTGCTGGAGAGAGACCGGAGAGAGAGGACCGTGGGCGGGCCGGTGCATGTGCTGCTGCAGAGCGGATCCGCACTCGGTGAGAGAAGAGTTGTGTTATATTTCTATTACAGATACTACTTTTGACCATATTACTTCAGTTGTGATGTACATATGCATATAGAAACATGCTCAGAGTGCTTCACACATACAGATGGGAGCAGTGGTGGAAGAAGTACTCTGATCCTTTACTTAACTAGAGGTAATGATACTATAATGCTCAAAATACTCCATTACAAAAGTTCTGCTTTCAAAATGTCAAGTAATAAGCAAAGTGGACTTAAAGTATCAAAGGTAAATGTACTCATTATGCAGAATGGTCCATTTTATAAGTAGTCTCCATTTACTTTAGCTGTATTTAAGTACAACTTTGAGGTACTTTACCTGAGTACTTCCATGTCCTGCTACTTCATCCTGTGACTTCACTCCATGTCAGAGACAAACCGTGTACTTTTTACTACACTACATGTACCTGATACCTTCAGGTCCAGAATCAGATGAATCAAACCAAACCCAGTAGAACCATCAGACTCCATTGATCCCAGTAGGAAATCCACCAGCTACCCAGTAGGATGGAAAGTACTTCCCAGTATAAGTATATAAGGTAGTTACCATCAACATGAACTCAGTAATTATAATCCCATAATATAATTTACTGCGTACACTAGTGTGAAATGTGCCATTCTGCAAAATGACTGCTTTTACTTTGCAAATCAAATTTATTTCTATAGTGCTTTAAAAACAACGTCCAGTTCACCAAAGTACTTCACATGTACAAATAGAAGTAAAACAAAATCACACAATTAAATACAAAGGATGTAAGACCATGATTAAATAGAAAGTATCGGCTTCCGCTGTGTATTAAATGCCACAGACAATAAATAGGTCCTACGCACTGATGTCAAAGCTGCCATGTCCGTAGCTGATCTTACATTCAAAGGTAAGTTAGGCAACTCCATGGTTTAGTTCAGGGGTCGGCAACCCGCGGCTCCGGATGTGCATGTGGCTCTTCAGCCTCCTTGTTGTGGCTCCCTTCGGGGAGACATGCTGAAACGCTTCGCTGCTTGTCTGGAACATGTGAAAACCTTCTTGGAAAGCAAAGCCCTCAGCTATCCCGAACTGGGAGACCTCGATTGGCTGGAAAAGTTTTATTTCATGATGATATGACGAGTCACTTAAACATGCTGAATAAAAATCTCCAGGGAAAGGGAAGCACGGCCCTGCAGTTGCTGGAGGATGTTCTGGCATTTGAGCGCAAGATGACAGCGTTTGCCAAGAGAGGTACGCTCTCTCTCTTCC